ATGTGCAAACACAAAAAATTCTATCAACTAGAAACAATTCGTTATGGAACTCATTATGTGACGGAGAAAAAATAAACGAGGAACTGAGAGTCGGATTATATTCAGCATAAGCAGATAAAATATATGCCTAAAGTAAGTTGGAATCAAGTTCTCACCTATAAATTTTGATATCTGCGTTGCAGAGCGTCACCAGGAATTGATAATGCCTGATTAGTGATCTCTTCCAACCTGCTCTCCTCTCTTCCAACCTGCATTCCAGAGCCTCCATATACAGGCACACACCTGAGACCCAGTACCTATGCAACTTGGTAATATTAATAACACTGATTCTGCTGAACAAGCTCCCTCATCCGCCATTACAAGACCAAAAGGCCCATCTCCTGCCACCAAAGGTAGCTGGTCCTTGATATGCCTCAGCATTCGCAGCACATATGCAAGGGTTTACCAGAGCCAGTTTTTGCAATGCCATTGCAATCTCGACTGCTCATAATTACAGGCACTGCTTAATCTGAAATGGCATTCGCTTTCATAGTTGAGCTTCTTTATTGGTTCCAAGATATATTCAGAAGTCCAGTTTGGTGCCAGCTCTTAATATGCTTTGCCACAACTTCACCATGTATCTTAATTCCAAATGTTTTCGGTATGCACCTACATCTTCTGGGATCATTTTTGAGATCCCCTTCATGTAGAAATCCTTCCGGATGTTTGATAGTCTGTCTTTGAGTGGTCAACTGGAGAGAGCTTCTCAAATTTTATCTTCGTCGCCCTTTTTGTGAACTTGACATCACCTTTGTCTTCAAATGGATCTTCATCACTCTCATAATCCCATAATCGGAGTCTGAATCCACTCCAAGAATTTTTCTGGCCAAAGATTAATTTGACCCATTTTCACCAACAACTACTGATTGGTCGGCAGCATTGGCCAGCTTCTGTAGCATCTAGCGGATTAATTTCATCATCCAGCAAAGCAGGTGAAGTTGTTTCATTCTTGGAACCAACTTCCATGGCAGTTCCATATTCTTTGTCAGTAAGATAGGCTTCTCCATCAACGTCCATGCCCGTCTCTTCTTCATCGTCAGATTCTCCTTCAAGAGTCCAGGTATTTATGGACTTGGGTTCACCGACATCACCTTCCCTGTGGTTCTCTCTTTCTCAGATTATGTTTCCTTTCTTCTTAACTCCAGCCACTCCTGAACTCTCCTCCTCCACTTTTCCATTTCCTCATCCAACTTCTTCTGTTCATCCTCGAACTCCTCCACCACCACCTCACATGCTGGCTTCTTCTCCTTCTGGACTGGATATCTTCATCACTATTCTTTATCGGGCTCTCAACTCCGCCATCCCTATGTATATTCTGACCTGCTGCTACTCCTTCAACTCTCTGTCCACATTTTACTTGTAATCTTTCTTACAGCGCTTCCTATCACTCTCCCTAGCATCACCATCATCATCCTCATCTATATCATGCACCCTTCTGTTTCGATCTCTGTCCTTTTCCTCCTCTCTAGCCCTCTCTCTCTCTTCTCCCTATCTTTCTCTCTACTCCTCCGATGACTATCACTTTCCCTATCTCCTCAATGCCGCTACTCTACATCGTGCCTCTCGTTCCTCACAATAATCACAAAACTTGTCTCTCACGGAACAACTACAATCACAATCTCTCTTATCTCTATCCTTACCCCTACAATGTCGCTTCTCCCCATTCCTCTCCTTTTCGCCATCTCCATCTCGAAAACCACTAATCCTCTTCCATTCTCACTCCTTAATAGGTTTACATTTACCTTCTACAACAGCAGTTCCTCCTACAACTACAATATTCCCCTGCAATTCACCAAACACACAAAAAATTACTCCTTTTTCCGACTTACATACAATTGAGACCAACACAAATAACAGGAAACCAATTCAGACGAGAAAACACTAAAAAAAAAAACCCTAAACCCAAATCGAATAAGAAATGAAACAAATTCACAAATTATTTGTCAAATTGAAGAAAATTCGACTCGGAAGAGTTTGATTACCTGATTGACACAGAAAAGCTCGTGAAAATGGGGGAAAACGCAGAGTTAGGGTTGGGGCAGATTGATTTATTTGCCTCCAAAACCCAAATAAATGAAATTGATCGAAATTGGGCTATGGTCGGTTATTTTGTTGGGTTACTTAATTGGGCCTTTTTTGGACTATTGGGCCTTATTTCTAATTAACAATTTGGGATGTGTTTGTTTGCCGTCACTAACTTTTACTAGACTAGACTAGACTAAGAATTAGTGTAGTCCACTGTTTATTCACAAAAAGGATTAACTTTAATAACATTAGGTGGGACTCGCATGGACTAAAGAGCTCCCTAGAGGGGCAAGAAGTGGAAGGCCAGAGAGGAGGGAGATTTGACTGAGGTTGAAATTGGGAGAACAAAGAACGGCAGAGAGATAGGGGTGAGATGCAAAGTTTGATAGAAACAAAGAATATAGTAGAAAGGAAAGTAAATTAAAAATAGTATTTTGTAACATAATATTTGATTATTTTTTGTTTTTTAAAGTAAAAGTAAATTAAAAATGATAAAAAAAATATTTTGGGCTTTAAAAATACTAAACCAAACACTTCATTATTCTTATCCTACTTAATCTCTTAAATTAGTTCAGTCCGAGATAATCCGGTGCGTTTGTGACAGGACGTGAGATTTGAGGCTGGTTTGGGATTGTGATGACTTAAAAAAAAAAAAAACCCGGTTGTCAATGATAATAAAAAAAACATAGAAAAGCAGAAGTAATGTTTACCATGCTTCTAAAAAAATGTTTTTTAATTTCAACGGATAGTAATCAGTGCCCATTTAATAAAATTTTTAAAGGATAAGTAGACCCTCACATATTAAACAAAATTACAATAATTGCCCCTACATTATTCTCTTTGACAATTATTATATCACATTAAATATTGTATCATTTTTAGTCATTTAACATATTCACTTCCATTTATATATTTTTTGTTGTTGCACATCAATTTATATTAAAGTTTACTAAATAGTCAGACCCATTTTGACATTTTTTTTCACGCATACAAGCTTGGTGTTATGCTTATGATTTTCAAAGTTTTTTCATAGGCTCAGGGCCCCAATTTGACTTTTTACTTTAATTTCTTTCATCGGATTTGATTGGAGGTTGGTAGCTCCTATGGAGTTTAGGCAATCTGTTGCTTTGTGAGCTTTGAGGAGGAGGGAGAAAGAAAATCAAAGAGGCCTGAGGTTTAGGTTTAAGAAAGAGGATGATGATGACGACACCATACCAGACCTACACAACAGTAGTCAGTTGCTCACCACACAGCAGAGTAAATTTTACAATTTTGCAAGATCAGTATAGTATTTCGGATTGAGATTTTTGGGTCCTTCTAGGCTAAAGTTTTGACCCTGCCACTGCCTAAGTGGTAACGAAGGCTTTACATTCACTCTGCTTGTTAAGTGCATATGGATTAGCCGCTAAACATGTTATCAAATTTTTCAAATTCCATTTCATATAGATAAGAATCTTAAAAATCGGTATTTTGAAGTGGGCCAGAAGAGCAGTTAGCGTCATATTAAGTTACCTAGAATCAAGCTCCAATACCAACTGTGACCTCAAGTGGGAGATCGAAAATTGAGGCATACAGATTCATCTTAATCCTCTAGCTGCGTTGTGTGCATCATCAGATCAATCATCACCGGGAAGGAAACTAGTAAAGCTGCTTCTACAAAAGCACTTGTGGAAACATGAATCAGAAAATGACAGAGTCCCAGAGCTGCCACTAGATCATTCCACCCTATAGGATTTTACAGACAGCGATGGCGACACCTTTGGAGGCACCTCCTAGGAGCTGAACTTTAGTTAGTATGGCAAAAGTTAGCACAAGTCGGAAGGCACCTAGGTGGGCACGAACGCTTAAGGCAAAGAAAAGCTTTGTTTCCTTGCACACTTTTTTTCTGCAGTGGCAATAGCTTTGCTAGGTGTATTATTTTCAACTTAGACTCAATTTCCATGCTTAATTATAAAGCAATGCTAGTGTAGCGTGACAAATGAAATTAAATTTTTTGTCTAGAGATGAAAATAAAAAATAAAAAAAGTTCCGATACTTATGTCGGAAACCGTTCACGCTCGAATCACAATTTTTGGTTTCATACAAGCAAAACATAAGCAATGGTGTGTTTGTGTTGATTCCATAAAAGATTGAGAAACCAAATCTTTTGTGATTCTTATGAAATCTAAAGAAACAAGCTAGTAAAACTTACCAATATTGTACTTGGTGGAGATAAATCCAAAATGTCAAGGAACAAATCTAAGGAAGATTGCCATAGCCATAGCCACAGGTCGGTGGATTCTTGTGTGCAAACTAGGGTGCATCTCTAGATCAGTATTTTACTCATTACGTGATGAAAGAGATATTTCTATTATTACAACTTTGAGTCTCTCTCGTCACTTGACACAATATTAATATATCTTATCACGTAACGTAATGAAATCACTTGTCAAGTGATGAAAAAGACATTTTCGTAATTGCAATTTTGGTCTCTCTCATCATTTGACACTATTAATATATCTTATCACGTAGCGTGATGAAAGAGAGACTTCCCGAATGTTATCTTAGATTTTGTCTCATAGTTAGTGAGACAAGTGATTTGGACCAATTGTTTCCCGTAATATTATGGAAAGTGTTATTTGCACTCCAAAAATCTCATTCTACACTCCTCACAAATGTATTTTTCTTTCCTAATATAGAAAGTTTAGAGTGTAGAATGAGATTTTTTGAGTGCTAATATCAATTCCCAATATTATTCATAGATAAAAAAATTGCAGGTGGGAAATGAGTGATTTCATGTCATGGATGATAAGATTGAGACATGTTTTGTCCCTTGCCTGAAATGATTGTTGTACCGAGGGGAACATTGAAGTGGCCCGTCCACTATACCAAATTGTGCTTTTAAAACTCTTTCTCTCTCTCTCTCTCTCTCTCTCTCTCTCTCTCTCTCTCTCTCTCTCTTTAAATTTGGTTGTGCTGCATGAGAGCCAAAGCGTAGAGGTAGGAAGATTAATTAGAAGAGAAATGGGGAGTTCTCATGAGCTTACAAGAAATGGCCATAAGGATGTTTCACTTCAAGAACTCAGTGATAGGCTTGCTGAGTTTGCTCAACTAAGAGGATGGGAAGAATATCACAGCCCCAGAAATCTCCTTCTAGCACTAGTAATCTCTCTCACCCATTTACCATCTTATCTATTTACTTACGTTCTTATATGCACATATTTATTTTCTCATGTGAGACGTGAGTTAGGACAGCTGACCAGGTAGAGAAATGAGTTTGTCGGCTGCATATAGATTGTAGTAGTTTAGAATATCGTCTTATCAAGCAGATAAAACAACCTACACATGACATGTGTTTGTGCAGGTGGGAGAGGTTGGAGAACTGTCTGAAATTTTCCAGTGGAAGGGTGAAGTTGCAAGAGGGCTGCCTAACTGGACTTCTGATGAGAAAGAGCATTTGGAAGAGGAGCTCTCTGATGTTCTGCTCTACCTGATTCAACTCGCCGACGTCTGCGGACTTGATCTGGGACAAGCAGCTCTCACCAAGATTGTCAAGAATGCAAGAAAATACCCCGTTACGAATAAAACAACAGCTTCCACCACCAACTAGCTATAAGATCAAAATTAAGAACCACCTCTATATGTTTGGACTCATGCTGCTTATTTTTTCTTAAGTTGATCATGTCAATTACGATCATAGTTTTGTTTAGAGAGGAATCTACTTCCTAATCCTTCTTAATAATATATCTACGCATGACTTTTTTTTTTTTATTTATTTATTTTTTTTTATACAAGCGATATTATACACTAAACTCGTTTAAATTACGTAGAGCGGGACGAATTTAAGTGCAGAGAGTAAATCACACTAATCTAGTCAACTTAACTAAAGCCATGTCTGATAAGCAGGGCTTTAAACCCGAGCGTGCCAGGTGGACCAGTTGGACATTGTAGTCTGCTAAGCAGGACTTTAAACCCAAATGTGCCAGGTGAAATAGTTGGACATTGTAGTCGTCATTTTGTTTGATTGTTATTATATACCTTTGTTAGGGTTAATAATCTGCATTGCAAAGACGATGTATTTAATCAGGCCATTACCTTAAGTTTAGCATAACAATTAGCAAGCTAGAAATTTTATATTTTTCAATATGTTTGCGATTTCCTTCTTTAGCCAAACGGGGTGTTGGTGCAACTTGACAAAATTGGTCCTTCTTGGGGTCATCTATGCCTTTTGATAAGGGCCAACCATTCAAAGTGGAGGAGATATTATATAGGTTAGGCTTGCTTATGATCACATGGACATGTCTACCATGGTGTGATTAGTGAAAACAAAGAGAGATAATGATCTTATCCGATATAGTTAGTGTGTGGTGGGGTTAAATTTTAATCAATTTTTATTGTTATGGTGTTATTCGAAACCAATAATGTAATGTCATGTATTTTAACTTTTTCATGTAACTGTGCATTATTAATTTAAAACACCATTATAATAATGTGCTTGGTGTAAGTAAACCTCTCTATTTGGCAAGAGCCAAGCCAATCATCAAAAGTGGAGCAAAAATATAGGCCATTGGCCATCTTCCTAGTACTCTAATCAAAAGGGTTGTCTACCATCACCAAGTTGTGATCATTGAAAGCCAGAGGGCTGATGAAAACTTTAGCCAACAAAGTTAGTGTCTGGTGGGGGAAAGCTTAGGGTAGCTAGTCCCACTTCATGCCACCTTGCTCACTCACGTTAATCTCATTTATGTTAGTTCTTCTATCCTTGTTATTGACCTCATTTGTGGTGATGTGAGAGCTTGTTATTTGATGGTCGCACAAGTCAAATTGCGTGGTGTTCTTACTAAAAAGTTCTCTGATGTGGTGGGGTTTTCGTTTGATTACTTTCTTATCCAAAGAGATACAAAGCTTCAAATGCAAAATTAAAATGTAAGTGTAAAAGAAAAGGATTGTAAAAAAAAGTGCAAATACATTAGGAAAATTAATTTGAGTAATAAAGTGTTCAAGAAAAGCCCAATATGAGAAGTCATGGGCCTTCTCCAAAGAGATACAAAGCTGCAAATCCAATATTTTTTAGGCTTTTTAGTTATAAATGTTTTTGAGGTTGACATAACTTCTTACTTTGATTCCTGATAATGAAAATTGATAGATATGGTCATTGAGTATGTCCATAATAAATTATTTTGGTCATTCTGTGAAAAATCTGTCAATATCCTGGTTAAATTGTCACGTGAACGACTACATGACTATATTTCCAAGGTATTTTTGTCAAACAAACCCCTCCACTTAACGAGGATATTGACAGATTTTCACTGAAGAGCCAAAATAATTTTCGATAGACACACGCAGGGAACAATCCTATCGATTTTCATTCATAGAGATCAAAGTAAAGGATTATGTCAATTTCAGACACTATTTTTAACTTAAAAAACCTATTTTTTTCTTGCTCCTCAAATATTTGCGTACAACTTTCTTTTGCATTACCTATCCAAACAAATATTCTTTTACGTTGACAACTTGAGAATACTAAAACTTTTCTGGCCATAAAAAAAAAAAAAATTATTATTGACACTTCGAATCATTTCATACTCCTTTAATTTTCTAGGTATTAAGAACAACGAATGAATATTGAAAATGTCAGTAGCAACTTCCAAAAATAAAAGCCAAAATAATGAGATTGCTTTGGGTTTGAAAAGACTATTTTAATCTTCACGGCAGATGTATGAAAGTGAGACGGGAAAGCGACATCCAAAGAGGGACAATGTAGTAAATTGAGCAAAATAAAGGGGCAATTTTGTAATATACCGTAAGAAAAAAAAAATAGTGAAATAAAATTGGAAGATCGAGGCCCCAGAAAGTCGACATCGGGATTGGACGGAGAAAAATCATACAAAGAAAAGGACGAGGGGTCCCACCAGAGAATTTTCGCCGCAATGCGTACATGCTGAACCAATTTTATACGGAAGATTCTATTTTCTCCACCCCCCTCAATTGTAGTTTATTTACAATTTAGGCTCATAAGTTTTTATATTTTCAAAAAGGTAGTTCATTTCCTTGGCTATGGTTCATAAATCATGGACAAGATGATGAAGAAAAATAAAACTAAACTAAATATGTTTTGGGTTGGAAATTAGAGGACCACCACCTTACTAATCATCAACAAGATATAGCTATTTGGTACGTTTATTTGCTATAAGCAACAATTTTAATATCAAATTTTAAAATAAAGAAATGTCAACTCATTTAGGCTTAAAATTTATCCACAAGTTTTACACATTGTTCTAAAAAAATTCCCCAATTAATCTATAAATGTTTGAAATTAAAAAAGAGCGCCCACCTAACCCACCTAGACCTGTTTCTGTAGTGACTTTCACTTAAACAAAAAATAGAAGACTTTCATTTTGCATTTTATTTTTCAATAAATTGCAAGAAACTTGTTTAATATTTTTTTTTCTTAATACTTTATAATTTATATGTCGTTTCATTTTGTAATTTAAGTATCGCATATATAATTATGTATTTTTAAGCATAAGTAAATATTTATTTATATGTCATATAATAAATTTAACTAAAATCTAAAAAACCGCCAAGACGCTAGGCTCTTACCCAACAAGATGCTTAGGCTAGTCTTTTACTGGCTGAGACGCCTGGGCGCCATGCTACTTTTAGAACCTTAGTTTTACAATATATATGCTTTGTCACTTTTTGTCATGAGGAGGGGGTATTATAGTTTCTTTGCGTACAAGTTGGTGATATCATATGACCTATTTCGAAGAATATTGACTTCAAACAAACAATTTTCCAATTAGCATTTAAATCAAGTATTTAGTGCTTGTTTTCCCGTTGTCAATGTCATGCAGCTCTTTCAAAATGAAACCCAATTATTGTTACAATATTTATGATACGTATTTTACAATTTTTTATTGCATATTTTAATTACTGTTTATTTCTTTGATTTGAAGTTTTTTCATGAGATGTAACCTTGTAACTAATTTATTAAAGTAATAATTACATCGATTGTCGTGTCAATTGTTTCTAGGGCAATGATTTTCAATGTGCTTCTATATATATATATATATCATTATACAAATGAAATGATATTTGAAAAATAAAATTTTTCTTCACTAATATAATAATATGTGATATTCATCTTTATTCTGAGCACACAAAAAAATTCTCATTCTCGAGACCTTAATCATTACCATTACTAAATGATCATCATTACGAGATATTTTTCAGTTTGGGCATTGTACACCCACAAGTGTCATAATAAAAATAGGAATAAGATTCTTTTTTTTTTTTCTCTCTCTCCCCTCCCTTTTTATTTAAACTGTCACAATTAAGTCACATTAACGTCATATATAGAGAGAAAGATAAAATAGAAAGTGTGAGATAAGGGGAGGGAATGAGAAGAGAATCATACTCTATAAAGTGGTAAAAAATTATTTTTAAGTATCCAACCATTATATATTATGACATTTGATATACTAAGCTATATTTCCGACACATAAAAAAATCTCTTTATGATTTGATTGATTAGATTGTTATGGTTGGCAACATATTTTGAAAATAAAAAATCAAAACTACTCACACAAACACAAGTGAGTGATTTCCGCATATTCGTTTCTTCTCGTATTTTCTACTTTTGAGTTTAATAAATTAAAACAGATTTTTTAGTCAGAAAATTAAAATAGTATTTAGAGATGCATGTAAACAGATGTGTGGAAAGAAATACAAACATGACAAAGACCCTGAATACAAACTTGTCATTGGTGGCACCAAAAAGTATCTTGGTTCATGTATTACCACTAATCACGGTTTCAAGGCAGGAAGAAGATTCTCTATCCTCCTATTCCTATTTTCCTTCATCCCCTCCTCTCACACATTGTCTTTTGTCTTATTATCTTTATAAAAAAATCAATATAAAATGTTGACGCTTAACCGTGACCGTTCAAATAGGAGAGCATGGAAGGGTAGAGAGATTAGGAGGGTAGAGAATCCTTCTCCTTCAAGGCGGATCATAATTACACGGTGAGACGTATGCACTTCCCAATTAAGTCCATAATTATTATAAAATTTCATACGTATGATTTTATTATAAAAATTTACGTGTTTATATTATAAAGTATTGTGTAACAAATACGAGATAGTAGAGAGTCTCTTTACAAATGGACCGGGATCAATTAGCCTCTAAAACATATGTTGATTCCACGAACAATTCGTAATGCAATTCCTAAAAAAATAGGAATTACTGAAAAGTAGTTGATCTTATTTCCATTTCTTCTCTTTCACTATTTACAACCTCTTCCGATTCAGAAATTTTCTTATTACAAATAAATAAGTTAGAAGTTTATTTTGAAAGCTAACATCCAACATGAAAACGAGTCATGAGAGTTTTCCTTGTTACCAGGAAATTTCTACGGGCCCACTGCTAACGGATCATACTTGATTCCTAACAAATTTAGAACCGTGTCTTCTTACCTAATGGAATAGTCAGTCATAGCATTTAATAGCATGTTCATTGTTTTTTATAACAAGAGAGAATATTTACAGACATGAGTTAGTCTAGTTGACTAGAATAATATGTTTGCCTCTCGCAATCGAATTCAAATTCTCGTTCACATAGTTAGGGTAGTGAATATCGTCTTATACAAAACAAGAGGATATGTGTCACATTATTATTGTATGTGATTAAAGATATGTGGTCTAAAGTTTAAGGGTTTGTTTGGAAGTGTTTTTGGTGAAAATTTTACCAAAAGCGCTTTTAAAGGCAC